AATTCAGTCTAATCGTCTAATTTAGTGACTTTGAACCCAGTTCGCGTTATCCCTTTCAAGCCGGCTTTTGGCACCTAGCAGTCTCTTATATAGCAGTAAAACCACAGTTTCGCCTTTTGATGAAGCAAGTGTAATAGGCCGAGCCTTTGACCAGATGGACAGACCCCTGCTGGAAAGTTGGTCTTCAAGTGGCACACTTAACAGAGCCAAGTATCTGCATCCAGCCTACCAGGCGATATACACACAGTTTGAGTCAGTTCTAGCAACGCAAACGGGATAGCCGAGCTAATACACGTGAAAGATAACTGAGATCATAGGAAAATAGGAGATGAGCCGGCCAGGAACTACGTGGACAACGTGGGACCTCACCCCACGGTACTGATCTCAACTCGCACGGGCGCCAAAAACAGATGCGTCTGTTCGCTGACGAGGGGCGAGCCAGTTGGCACGCCAACTTGCCAACAATTAAAACAGCCGCATGGGAATTAACTTCACGCGGGCCCATCTCGGAGAGGCAAATACTAATCAGCAGCGAACAGGCCGATCAAAGTTTGTGAGTCGAGCTCAGATATAATACCAGACAGGCGTTAAGCCTGAAACAGCAGTCAGCTTACTGTATCCATACTGGTGGATTCCATGTTTGCAGTAGGCCGGGCGGATATATCGACCCAAGTGTTATTGAATTCAAGCTTTTTGGCGTGCCTTCGTAGCTCAGTTGGTAGAACGTTAGCTGTACTAAAGCATTCCCTACTGATGTGGGTTCGAATCCCACTGAGGCCACGCATTTTTCGCATTCGGGTCAGTTAAAGTCTGAAAAAATCACGGCCAGCAGAAAGAACCATCGCCTTACTCTGATGATGAAATCGAAAGTGTTTCCGGAACGTCAGTCTTGATACAATTCCATCCATGAACTCGTACCTTCTTCTTTGAGGATGGTGAAAACGAAATCGAAAGTAGTGTTGTTTTGTTCAAGTCAAGTTACTATTGGGCATATCCTTTTTTCTTACTTCACAGACTGGCTGCTTCCAGACGACCAAAAGGCTAACACCCCAGCTTCCGCCTCCATAGCCGCTGCCGCCGCAGCTGCGATAGCTTCCCTCGAGAAGAAGGCCGCCAAGTC